GTTACACTAATGGTGAACGTTGAGCCTACAACTTTGAGTTAATATCGTTTTGTGTCCAATAGAAAGACATGCATATTAATTAAGGGTACGAATATTAATATGAAGAAACGTGTATAGTTACATCCTGGTTGATAGCACTAAGAAAAACAAACAAACCTTTTTTTTCATTTTGCTCCAAAGATTTTATTAATTTGCAGTTGATATTCAACTATAAACCATCATTGTGTTTTGATGTACAAAGTACGTAGTTGTATAAGTGATGTCTGTTTTATGTTTTAGCACACAAGATCACATACAAAAGTTGTAATATTTTCAAAACGAGACCCAAAACTCGAGCGCTTTCGAATAGTTGACTATTCTTCTTCAGGAGAATAAAGGGTCTATTTTATGAATTATCCTTAGATTTTAAAATCAACTATTTTTTATTTCAGGAAACCGTCACATGGGAATAATGAGTGATAAACTAGATACATCTGTATCGCCATCTGCTGACGGCAAAGTTGTGATTGAATTACAATCACCAGTAATCAAAACAGGAGGAGAAGATGAACCAAAGCAAGTTTTCAAATCTGCATATGTTAATCCAAACTTCATACCCGAGAGCTCGGTGAGTTGAGGTCGCCATCTTTAATTCTACGTCACGACACGACAAGAAAACGTTTAACTCTAAGTAAAACTTGGTGTTGTTGGTATTCAGGGAGCTTCAATGTTCAATGTTTGTTACACCTGAATAGAAGTCATAAATGGTATACGAGTTTACTATCTAAGTGCTTTTGTTGTTGTTTTCGCGCTTAACGTCTTAATAGATAAAACGATTAATCAGGGGGAAAAGAGAGTTTAGTTAAAAACAGGTGTTTATAATCGACATTTAATCGTTGCCATGGTACTTTAGTTTTTAATCTGATAAAAATAATTGTGCAATAAGAGGTTAACTTCGAAGTTAAATGATAAAGTGGATTAATACTGTGCTAGATATTAGATTATCACTATAGTTGTGTAAGGCTATTACGACTGTAGTTTACCACGCCTGTTTCTGAATAATAATTTTACTTGTTTATAGGTGGAGTTTAACCGACACAAGTACGACATTTCTACTTCATTTAAAGACACAAACTGTGACGTGGGAGAAGGCGAAGACAGGGACGATACGGAGAACGTTTTTTCTAACTGCCTAACTGCAGTGGAAGGTTTTGTTTCTTCCTTCTTCAATAAATACAAGAAATGGATCATCATAGCAACCATCGCTCTGCAATTTATCCTTTATAACATTTATTTGGGGTTTTCCATTTACCTCACATGGGATAAAACTCCGACTTGGTGTGAGGGGGTAAAATTTTTAACTTTAATTACAATTTTTGTTTATTTCACGCTGTTCTACTATTTGGTCTTCAAACGATGGCTGCTTAGGCCTTTCAAACGCCACATACGACCAGTCACAAAACCAGTTCTCCAACTCACAAGAAAACGGTATTCTTCAAGGTACGTTGACAGAGAGTATATGACAGTTGAGTTAATTTTCTTCGAATATGTTCTCGCTACACAATTGTTTAACTCCTGGTTGTATTTGGGACTTTAAACGTTTGTTTTGGTGAGATACTTATGCATAAACTATTTAACCCAATTAATTTGAATGACTTTATCTATGCTAAAAAAGAAAAAAAAAAAAGTGGTAATCTAGTGACATTGCGCAGGCGCTGAGTCTCGTACTATGTAGGCTGTAGCTGTTCAGTTATAAATGTCAATACCAAGTTACTGAAAAGCTAATCTAATATATATATATATATATATATAACTTGTTCTACAATGTTTCACTTGATTCCTGTTAGTACCTTATGTACTTTAGGGAACAAAAGCTTCTATGACTGAATGTTCGACAAACAGCGAAAAACGTTTTATACAGCTGTATGACAGTAACATAGTAACAGACTAAAATCTATGCTTGGGTTGTTTCAAAATAACGTTAATATACAGGAATAAATGCTGTATTTAGACTCTTTGACAATAACGTTTATATATGTCTTGTATATTTATTACACTCATGAATTTTAAAATTAGTTGAACTTATTTTTCTTGTACTTGTTCAATGTATAGGAATCCATGTTCACAAGGGATGTTGTAAATGTTTTTTCGATCTTCTTCACGGGGTCATTTAGATAATTTGGTGTGTAATAGCTATGATCTATTGTGATGTGATTTCTGAATACTTTTTTTAAAATTTGATGCTGTTTGCATATCCCCTATTATCAGATAGACATCTGACATGGGGAATATGGGTTTCTGAATACTTTTTTTTATCTGATGCTGTTTGCATATCCCCTATTTTCAGATAGACATCTGACATGGGGAATATGGGTTTCTGAATACTTTTTTTTTATCTGATGCTGTTTGCATATCCTCTGTTTTCAGGTAGACATTTTACATGGGGAATATGGATTTCTGAAAACTTTTTTCATTTGATGCTGTTTGCAGGTAGATATCTGACATGGGGAATATGGCTGTATTATGTAATTTTTCTCTTGTTGATTTTTGGTGATTATTTTTTATATCAATTGTTAAGAACTGTTGTAGTGATATGTTTTTCTTTCCTTTCTTCTTATTTTTTCGGTGATACAAACCTTGTTCATGAGTTCTTAAAACTTGCCTGTACATTGAAGCTATAGTAAGAATATATCGTCAACATTGGAGCCAAATCTTAAGGCGTAGACCGACTGTTCTGAAGACGTACTACCTTCGAAACGTTCCATGATAGAGGGGAGCACATCCTTGTTGTTGGCGTGGTATTTATCATCATATTGGAAGCAGGATGTGTTGATACAGAATTTTGTGAGTTTTGTTACCGTGGAGGTTGTCACTTGGACGAGTTCCCGAATAGTTTTATTGTTTGCAAACTGCTGTTGGAGTATTTGTAGTGTGTCAGGGATTTGGTACGTTAGTGAAGAAGTCGGATATATCGAAGATGATTGTTGTATCTTGTTTGGTTATTGTGATTACTTGTAAAATCTATACAGAGTAAAATATTAATGGTGATATCGTATCTACCAGAAATTTCGCTACGGATTGGCATGGTGTATCTCTGTAGTTAACCATGGAACGGAGGGGGAGGGGCCTTGTCTGAGCATTTTAAGGAACCGGTAAGGTGTAAA